ACCCACACCGACCCACACCCACACCCACACCCACACCCCACACTTCTCAACATCAAGCAGTATCGTCCACATTAATATATGTAGAGGGTGTGGTTAACGTAAAGAAGTGATCATAGTTGAAATGTTCTTCTCAATTATCAAAAAAAAAGTTGCCAAAATCTAAGAGAAATCTTTTGTCTACGAGCAGCTTAGAAATGTTTTCACAATATTTAAAAATAATTTAATATATTTATTCAGCATTATTGTGAATTATAAAATGATGGACGTGGATGTTTCTTGTATACCTGTTCACACCTACACCCTACTGAACAACGGACTGTAAGAAAGATGAATTAAAATATCAGAAAACTATTAAATCAATAATGTTTTCTTCCTTTAGACCTCAAATCATGAGAAAAGCAGTTTTTTTCTCGTTTTTGACCATGTTGTATTTCTGGAAATTATTCTCAGAACAAGTGAATTATAAAGTTTGATATAAAAATAGCTTCTTTATAGAACTACAAATGCAAATTAGTAGGAAAATGCATTTTTGTTCAGTTTATTAGTTCACAATTTCCATAGTCATTCTCACTGTTAGTTTATTTAGTAAAAGATTGCATATATAATTCAAAGAAAGACAATATATTGAAAATGCATTCTATCAGATAATTCTAGATAATCTACTTAAATCTAGAACTAAGCTTTGAACTCAGAACTGATGAATGTCTAATATATGGACAAACAGAATATTTTGTCTACGATCTAATAAAAATATGCAAGCAAAATATATATGTAGATGTATGCATGACAGTATGAATTAGACATACTCAGACATTTTTTAAATATTGTTTTTTTTTATCGTCGATGCACTTTAGTAGGATATATTGTTATTTTAATAATATTTCTGAAGAATCTAGAAAATAAATTATTGAAATCGCTGAAAATAATTAGCACCAATAATTGCATGATAATTAACTTTAAATAAACGGACCATGTTCTCATATTTATGAACACATATTGAAGTTTTTCATTTTTAGCGTTATTTTCGAAATTTAAGGTCTCTAAGTAAATTCAATTTGTATAATTTAATTGTTATTATTTGAAGGTGATAAAATAAGAAATTTGACGTTATGTCTTTTAAGTTTACCAAGATGTTTTTCTTCTACTATCAAAAAAATGCATTGTAATCATTACCGTGCAAGGATGGAGGAATAAAAAAAAGAATCAAAAGACTGTTGAAGAATTACATAACAACGTTTTATTATAAGTGAGGAGATCGGTATGAGGTGTGTGAATGACATCGCATTCACACGAGAAAACAATATTTGCATCCGATCCCCAATCGTGACCACATCTGAAACACCCACACTCATATCAAAACCAATATCTGTATTGTACATCAGTCTGCACTCTCTTGCATAGATGTGCTCACAATTACTCAGATCTACATCCATACGCACACCAAACGCACATCACTTAAGTGTAGTTTTAAATACTCTTTCTGAAGAAAATGTATGTTTAACTAGAATTTCGAGTGAAAACGATTAGTAAAAGGAGAAAAAGTACACAGAAACGAAAACGAAAACATTGCTGCGCTGCAAAAATACGAAGAAAACCATTTAAACAAAGGAATTCAATAGTGTGAGCACAAACGTTTTTGATTAACAGAATCACGTCAAAAATATTACTCAGGACGCTGCAGCTTCAATCTATTAGCTACGGTGAGTTGATTATCAACAGTATCTGAAGAACAACGGATGCTTTTTTAAATGTCATCTACTTCGAACAGACATACTACTATCAGTGGACCACTCTTTTGTTCACATCTATTCACTGATCCATTTTAAAAAGGATACAACAAAGAAAATCAGGATTAGGTCACTGCGATTTTCATGCCAGCACATAACAAAAGAATGCGAGAGTTCATTGATAAGCATTTAATCTCGATGAGGTTAGTATAGGAAAAGCTACAGGTTGCAAAGCTTTTTGTACAAATGAAAGTTAAACAGTAACGGTATAAATCTAGTTTACGTCAAAATGTTTACTTCTGAAATTTTGCAGGATGAAGATTATTTATAAGACTTAGTCTTTTAAAAAGAAGCGGCTGTAGTCATTTTCTCGACAACCTGAGAACGGTTGCAACTATTAAAGTGTTTCAGTTTTGGCATTGTGATTTGGGTAGAGAGAATTCCAATGTGTAGTTTAAGATATAATCAGAATGATTATCTTCACGTATTATAATGTTAAGGAGATGAAATTCTTTATTTAATTTCTACGCAAATTTTCTTACTTTTTTGAAAGTTCTATCTGAACAAAAGTTAATTTCTATATATTTTTCGATGTTTTTTAAAAAAGTTTGATTTTTAAAATGACTTTATGTGATCAAATTTTGTAGAGAGAGACGCCCGAATATCACTCCTTTCGACTGGTGGAAACCACAGCTTTCTAATTGTTTCTGTTCTCAAAATTATTCGAAAAATGGCTACATTGACTTTTCTTTTAACTAATAATAGATTGGTTTCAGAATTAAATATGCAAGTTTGTAGAGTAAAATTCAGTGGGTTGACCGCCATGCTTAACTTGGAACAACTCTAATTCATATAAATAACCTTGTTAGGATTCGTATTCACGCAGGGTGAAGAACGCAGTTAAAGACGTACGTGCTTTCTTCTCTCTCTGTTTATACTTTGACAAAAAATAACATTTATACAAGCACTCAAAAAAGAAGAAGAAAAATATTAATCAGAATTAAAGAAATGACTGGAAACGAAATAACACAAATGAAAACATCTAAGAAAAAAGAATAGAAAGAATTAATATGTATGTAGTTACAATGCATACGGTGAGAAACTGTCATCCTTGAAAGTCCCAAAAACTCAAGTGTTAACGTAAACTAAAAGAATGATAACATGGTGATTTTTGGTGATCAGAAAATCTCTTACAGTGTGAGAGAAAGTTTCTCTTCACTCAATAAATGGAATCTTAGAGATAACTGTCATGTCTTTCCATAGCTGAAAAGCTAAGGATCAAATAATCTCAGTCTCAAAGTGATACTTCAAAGAATTGAGTGTAAGTAAGGATATTAATCTTCTCCTCAACCAGAACAAGAGCCGGTGCCGCTCTTACATGCATAATCACATCTGCGCCCTATATCTATACTGACATACTCAATTTGCAACAAATTCTACATCCGCACGCATACTCAAACCGGAAAATAATATATTAAATTCGTCTTCAGGGATTGAATAGGTGCAAAGGATGAGGGCAGATGCTACATCTCACTTAGCTATTAATGAACCGAGATACAAGAATATTTATATTTCTATAAAAACACTTTGTTTTATTTTTTTACAGCATATTTTAACATAGAAGAACCTCTCTTACAAACATATAATCTATGACGCAAAAGTAATGGCCGAAATATCGAGACCAGTTACTCCGTTTGGAAACATCTTAGAAAGTAAGTATTTTTTTTTATTAAAAAAAATTGACATCTGAACTGTAAATTTTCAAATTTATAAAATGAAAAATGTGTGTATTGTCGGCTATCTCAGACTATACAAACTAAACGATCACAAGAAAATATAGTAAAATATGGTGCTCTAAAAACTCTCTCGATATCAACATCGTGAAACATAGTTAGATCCATTCTTTGGACTTTAACCGAAAACTTGAAGAATAAAATTTTCAATAAAAATGGCTTCGTTTTGACCAAGATTTATTGATCTGAAAGAATATTATCCACTATCTTCAGAAAATATATATAAAGAATTGTTTTGTTTTGCATCATTCGTTCAAAATATATTAGGTCATAGAAATTAAACGGGAAAAGTAATTCAGTGAGCATTTTTTTACCGCTGAAAAATGATCAAACAGTGAGAATAATCAAATTATCTAGTCTCTAACAGCCAAAGAAATGTGTCTATATTAAAATTAATACGAAACTCATTTGCACCACACGATTGAAATGAGTGGTCTTTGAGCTACAGAAATCGCCATTTAAAGCCTTTTTTTATTCTCTTCTGGCGTTAAAAAAGTTAAAGAAAATAAAAATTGATATGGCTCACTCATCAAATTGCAAGAAATTTTCTAAAGGTAGTTGCTTTTTGGCTTTTCGTCTTTCCTTGATTCGTTTTGGAAAATGTGAATCGCATAAAATTCAAAGTTCACAAATTGCTGATGTTAATAAAAATATAACTGACTTCCTGAAATGTTTCCAAAAGAAAAAACTGTGTCCCAAGATATTAGCAATCACTTTTACATCATAGATTAGCTCTTGAATACGGCGAAATCTTCTGACTTTCTTCAAGTATAAACTTGAACTTCTAAAACATTCCAAGAAGATTTATCAAAGTCTCAATATGTCATTAAAACTAGAAATATTCTAAAACGCTTTTTCTTGCCTCCGTTGACATGGTCCATATTGATCAATTTGTCAATATCCTCTATAGAGCTGTCATTCGAATTCGACATGTACTGATTTTAAGTGTCTTACTCCTGCCATTATTGATTAGATAAAATTTTATCTTTTTCTTTTGCTGTATTTTAACAGGACTTTGCGTTTCATTTTTAAATTACAATTTTGTAAAATTACTTTCTGTTGTCTTCTTACTATTGCAACATAACTACGCCTTTCATTTATATATTGCAATTTCTGAAAGTATTTCAATTACTTTTTTTTACTGATCATATTAATTTTCCCAGAAATTTCGAATCCAACATGTGAAATTTTTTCCCTTTTGATGTATATCATAAGAAAGCCCTTGTACTTTCTAAGTTGATGAACTAGTATAATACTTGGTCTTGTAGGCTCTAACATAGAACTGATTAGTAAAGAAATGTTTTTCCTAAATAGCACTAACTGACGTTCTAACCTAGAAGTAGTTGCAATCATAAAAAGGAACTTCAGCTAAAATAGCTCAACTAATACGAATGAACGCATGTGATTTTCATCACCTATGGTTTTTTTTCGTTATTGTATTTAAATATCATGGTTAACTGTTAAGATTTTAGTAACAGATATGTTATTCATTATAGAAAATGCTATATTCACGACGAAGTTAAGCCCTCATTCGTCCACAGAAGTCTCAGTAGATGAAAAAACAATTGATAGCAAGCCAATACCAGTTCGTCGTCGTTCGCTTGTACGTGAGTTTTGTTTAATTACATCAATTCATGGTTTGCCTGGCGCTGCCCGAAGTACAAATATATTAAATTTTATCTTTTGGTCGTTATCATTCATTTGTTTTATGGGTTTTCTTGTTTATTTTGTTGTTACAGCAATTCAAGCCTATTTCCAATATCCGACAAAAATTGATGTAACTTATGAAAGACAATATCCACAATATTTTCCAGCCGTTAGTATTTGTAATGCTTCGCCAATTCGTTATGATACATTTATTGGAGCCTTCTTGAATTACACGTATCCCAACAATACCAATAACATAACGACAATTTCTTCTAATGACTTCAGTAATGTTTTCAATTTTTTAATTGATGCTACCAATAAAAATCAACTATTAGATTCATATTTCTTTTCCCTTACTTCAATGTTGTATTCATGTACCTTCAATTCTGTTCCATGTTCAGCAGCAGATTTTATTTCATTTACATCACCAACATACGGCCAATGCTATACATTCAATGCTAAATTAAAAAATAGCACGAATAGCAACATCCGCTATACAAATGAGAATGGTGGTATTGGTGTACTACAGTTAGATCTTTATGTACATAGTCATGAATATTTACCTTATGTAAACGATGGTGAATGCACATTATATTTTTCATTAATTTTTCATTGATTTTTATTTTCATTCATAGGTGCTGGTGCTGTAATTATTGTTCATGATAATACACAAGTACCAACCATTGATACATCTGGAATATTTCTGGCACCAGGAAGAAAACATAAATTAGGCTACAAAAAGAAAGTTACTAGTTTTTTATCTTCACCCTACACAGACTGTACGAGTAGTGTTTCGGATTCTATGAAAGTAGCACTTGAAAGTTATAATGGGGCTGATTATATGTATTCTGAAAATCTCTGCTATGAAATTTGTCAACAAACATATGTGTAAGTACACCCGAATAGACGAGCATGCTCTACATGAATGACATTTTCATGAATTATTTTCTTTTAGTTATCAGCAATGTGGTTGTGTTAGCCCATTTTTATGGAATAGTCGCTCGGTTATTTTACCAGGAACAGATACAATTATTGTCGCACCTCTTTGTAATATGAGTAACTTATGTTTTTCTACAGCCACAAACACACTTTTGACTTCGAATTCTCAAATTGCTACATATTGTTCGGATTGTTCACAACAATGTTTATTAACGAATTTTATTATTGAAATCTCATCTTTAAAAACACCACTCGAATGGCAAATGAATTATATCAAAGCGTTTGTTGAAAATTCAACGGTATCATTGGCCTCTAATTGGTCGACAGCATGGCGTGAATATATTTATGATAACTATCTTTCAGTAGTTGTCGCACTTGAAACGATTACTATCGAAAATAATACACAAACATCAGTGCTTGGTGTTGTTGATATTATTTCCAATATCGGTGGTCAATGTGGACTTTGGATTGGTATTAGTTTTCTCTCAATATTTGAGCTTATCGAAATGATCTACATACTGATAAAACGTGAATATTATTTAATACAACAATCAAGACAAAGAAAAGTGGATGTTAGTGGTTAATATACACAGTATCCTAAACGTCTGCGGGGTCGTTTAATAAACATGCTTCTTAAATGATTCAACCGATTTTTTTTGCTTTACTTTATTACTATGCTTTCCAAAGTGTTTTTTCATATAAATTACACCGGAATAGGGAGTGGGTGTGTGCATGGAGGGGGGGGGGGGGAACACAGGGTTGCCAGCTTGAAAGTTACAAACGGGAATTTTTCTACATCATGCCGGAAAAAATTCAGAAAGTAGGTCTTTGACGTTCAATTATGTATACCGTTATTTTTTATGGGAATTTATTTTGTTCTATCAGCATTTTGTGCGAAAATTGTTGCCAATGCAGCTGTTTTCTTTTTCAATCTCCTTATATTCATATTTGAATCATTAATTTCAATATTCACGGCTGAATTTTATTCAATTTAACACCGAAGGGTGCGGGTGTGGGTGGGTGGATGTGGATGTGAGTATGGGTGTGGGTGTGGGTGTGTGGGAGTGGGTGTTGGTGTGGGTGTGAATATGAGTATGGGTGTGGGTGGGTGGGTGGGTGTGGGTGTTGGTGTGGGTGGGTGGGTGTCGGTGTGGGTGGGTGGGTGTGGGTGTGGGTGTGGGTGTGGGTGTGAGTATGGGTGTGGGTGTGAGTGTGTGGGTGTGGGTGTTGGTGTGGGTGTGGGTAAAAAGAAGATAATACTCAGATATTATTCATACCCACACCCACACCCACACCGGCACCTACAGTGTGTCTAATGTCTCACGAACAAATATATCGGCAGCTAAACTTTTGTATTCATCGTTCAAAGGACTATAACATCGCTATCTTTCGTAGAAGAGAAACCGTGGATGCTGTGGTTTGATTCTTGGATATTGTGATTGGCAGTGAACTTCAAAAAATTGAGGTTATGTGCGAAGTTTATATCAGTTAAAGAAAAAAAAAGCACAAAATAACATATGAAAAAAAGTCTTTATATCAATTGATTTATTTTACTTTACAAGAATTTTTCTGGTGAAAAACACGACATTTTCTATCATCATCATCATCATCATCATCACTAGATGTTGTATTTAATACGAATGTGATTGGTTCTACGTCAATTACTGCTTGATTTTCACTCACATAACACGATTTTAATTGGAAAAATACTGAAGATTTGTTATTGTTCAGTCCCCAACATCGTAGTCCACATATTTCTGGATGAATCCAGAAAGCTGTTTCGTCAATAATTTGATCTAGAATGCAGCAAAACAAAACAATACACGAAATTAATTTCATGCTCCCCAGGGAAAAAATATTAGATTATGGAAGATTTCAGTAGATTATAATCAGATTTTTCTGAAACAAAATCTAAATTATAATCGATTAAAATCTTCGAAATCAACAATAATTCGATTTTCAATCAATCGAAAATCTTTAAAATCCAAAAAAAATCGAATTACAATCGAAACAAATCAGGACTATATAATTTTAATCAAAACTGCACGATTTTAATCCAAATTTTTTCGAATTTTAAGGATTTTTGTTTAATTAAAAGTTCAATTATTGTTGATTTCGAAGATTTCAATCGATTATAATTTGGATTTTGTTGCAGAAAAATCTGATGATAATCTACTGAAATCTTCCATAATCTGATATTTTTTCACTGGGTCATATTAGAGGTCAATTACGCTTTGAGAAGACGAGGAACGGCATAAGCTAACCTACTAAAACAGTTTATTATCAGCTAAATAAAAAAATAGAAAAAAAATTAGTAAGAATCCTCTTCAGGTTAGTTTACTCCAATTTCAGCGAAAAAATCTCCTAAACCCCTCCCCATAATAGAAGCCCCTCCCATATTAGAAGCCCCCCTTATTAGAAGCCCCTCCAGAGGGGACAGCGTAAAAGATGTATTATAAGCCCCCTCATTTTAAAAACTTTTTGAAAGTTTTTCTTGATATTTTCATCGAAAAACTTTCAAAATTCAAGATCTTAAGGTGAAAATTTGTTTAATTTCCTTATTTACCAGCATAAAAATCTTGAAATCTCCTAGAAAGGCGTTTGAATAACCCTTAAAAATCCTAAAAATCCCCGAAGCCCTTTGAAATCTTTTGTCATCAAAAACTATTGAGAAATTTTAGGACTTAATAGAAGCCCCCTGCGAAAATTTTGCATGATGGACAAATTAGAAGCCCCCGGGGGCTTCTAAACTGGGGAGGGGTTTAGTAGATCCAGACCTATTCGACTGATCACATGTAGAACCTGCGCAGTCAGTTTTTTCACGAAAAAATATTCCGTAAATAAACATTTATGGCAGAAGTCTTTATCTAGATTTCTTCAATTCTAACAATTGTTCGATTGACTGTAGATCTATGTTTTGATACAACATATTCTCTTTGTGCACAGAACATGTAAAATGAAATGCATGTTCGAATCTTTGTATTAAAAATTAAAGAAGAACAATGCCTTATACATTGTGTCAGTTCCTATCTCTTTGCCTCTATAAAAACATTGTTTTCATAATGTTACGTATCTTTTTTCAGTTTTACAATTTTTTGTTTCCTTGTTTAATATTTTATTTTTCAAAAAGGTACTCAGGCGCTTTGTACGTAAGTGGTTCAGCATCACAAATAAATCATCTATTACATAGAATTCAGCTCTTTTCATCAAAACTCTCTGTACTCATAACACAGCAATTAGGCAGAGTATTGAAACATTCTTTTGAAAGGTATATAAGGATTATCTAACTTATGAAACCATCTTTAGTCTACATTTCTCGGGTCGTAACGGTAGAGAAAAATATTACAAATCAGGAACAAAATCTATAGAAAGGAAGGAAGAAGAAATTTTACCAGTTCTAATCAAAACTAGTAAATTACTCAACTTAACTTCGGCGACTTCATCACCAGAAAGACAGAATAACAACCAAACAGTTACCACGAAGTACTGTTTTATACTAGGTGTAGAATTACAATTATAGCAAGAGCTACCGCAAGCTCAAGTGATGTTTTGGAAAATAATTGAGTTTGATCAACTTTGCAATCAAACAAGCCTTTGAGAGAAAACAAGATATTTTCGCTAACGCATTTCTTGACAAGTCTATGCTCGTATAGGAATTCAGCATATTTTATACGTCTAAGGACAATATATTATAATACGGAACGAAAGTCGTAATATGGAAAAATCTACTCAGCTTACTTGTCCAGTAATAATTAGATAACAACTGATCGCGCCATGCATTTGGTATATTGAAAAAGAAATCATATGAATGTCCAATTAAATGATTAACCTAGAAAAGAAAGAAAATGCGCTTTTTATGCCTAATCTGTATTAGAGACTTTTGTTTTCTATTAGAAAGTCCCTTGGCTGAAGTTGGTTATTTTCACACATTTCAAGTTGTGAACCCAAAGTACCTTAATCTTAGTAAAATAAAACAATCCAAACTACCATTTGAAATTACAGCTAATTCCTGTTTAGCTATTGTGTATTCTAAATTGTTGGCAATCTAAAGAGTTACAATGGATTGTTTAGAAAATATAATAGCAAGGATGATTCCGCTTTTTTCATGAGATAAAAATGCTACTAAAAACAAAAAAAATAATGGATAAGATCTCTTTTTCTACTCAAGAAAAACTAGCATGATATAATTAAACGTTGTATTCTCTGATATTTAAATGCGCTTATACCTACACCTCAAGTAGTATTTACCTCTAGAGCCACAGAATCTACCTTTGAACATGAGTGCACACCCTTTGAACATATTCAAAAAGCTATCGAATCGTGAAGTTTTTTGGAAAAGTATTCTCGAGAGGTCAAGGTTAATGAACTACTAATTGAATCATACAAGACTTTAAATACCCGAAATGTTGCGGTGTCTTCTTCATTTCCATAATAAAATTAGTTACTAAAATTTCAAAACCGTTTCCACTTTCGGCACGTTGAGTAGGTGTTGCTGGTATATCCATATTACCATTTAACTTGCCAACAAGATGATAGAATAACCAATGAACCATTTCATGCAATATTTTAATGGCAAGTAACACCGCAAAATTTTTTGTCCGTTCGACTGTCATATTTTCTTCAGCATGTTCCACCAACTGAAAATGAAGTAATCCAAAAGTGTTTGAAACGAAAAAGAATATACAATGAACGAACTTTAGAATTTAAATAAATCGTGTTAGAATTGTGATCATTTTTCACGCATTTGAACATACCATAAGCTTTTGAACCCACATGTCGTTTGATTGCTGCATCAGTGAGAACTACAATAGTTGGAGGCTTTTCCAATTGTTTAATTACAACATCAAGAAGTTGTTGTGTTGGTTCCTGAATGAAAAACTTTTGATTGAAGCTTTATACAAATAAAAACGTGCACAATGCAAGGATTTTAAGAGTTCATTTTCTGTTTTGAATGAAAATTGTGATTCTACACTTGACATTGCTCAATAAACAAGCGGGAGTCCTCTTCAGAATGAGATCTCTTCCTTTCCTGTCAAAACCTATAAAACTTTTAATTTTTCCACTACCGTCAAAAATTTAGGAAAATTCCTGTTTATAATGGCTTCTTTGTTCTTGACGGAAAATAAAAAATATTGCACTCAGAAATCTTGTAGAGCAAGATGTTTTCTTCAAAATAAGACGTTCTCAAAAGTTGTCAAATTATTTTCTGTGACGTTATAAACACATTCTACCGAAAGCTACTGAAAAACATACTCTTTCCTTACATTCTTCAAAACGCAAAACATTCTCGTTTTATAGCGACACTCTTACGACTCAACTTAAGCTTTAGAAAACACAGTTGTAGTCTTCACATTATAGAAAAAGAAAATATTTCGTCTTCGTTATGCTCATATTAATTAAAATTAAATTGAAACTAACTTTATATTCATATAATGGTGTTTGCACCGAAAATGGAACGAATAATTTTTTCATAATCGGATGATGAATAAAACGATCGACAATACGAATGGCACTTTGAAATGACAAATTAGAACCAAATTGACTGCTGTCATAATTCCATACTGCTTTTGGCAATGGTAAGTCGGTAATACTGTCAATCGATAATTTTAATATTTTCTTACTATGACGAAGTGACGCCTGTCAAGAAAATGAAAGCAACATTTTTATTAGATCCATAATTCGATAAATACTCACATTAAGTTTTTTTTGATTTTCCCATATTTTACAACCAGTATCACAATCATCTTCAGTTATTATCTTTTCGGCTAGAGCACGACGTATTTGATAACATGAATTTAATTCATAAACTGTTTGATCATTATGTTTTAATTTCGTAAACAGTTGACAATAAAATTTTTCATTGATTTCATTTCTTATTATCTCATTCTTTAAGAAAAAGCATAGGCATCATTTGGTAAACAAATCGAAAAATACAGAAATACTGTTACATCAGTTGACGAAAATTGTGTATTGCATTTGATAATTCCGATGAGTATTGATTCGTATTCGTACAAACTGAATTGAATAAAATAAAAAATAGGAAACACAAAATATCATATCTATTTTCTCTTTTTTACGGTTTATCTTTCTCTGAGCGATCACGAAAATGTGCAAAAATTCGACGTATAAGAATATTCTTATCTTGTGTATTGAAATTCATTTCGACTAGAAAAAAAAACAGTCTTCAAGATAATTTTTGAATAGCAGTAGTCTAACTGTTCTTTTGTTCATCTCTCCTAACGAGAGCTACCAGCTTCCAATCTTCATTGGTAGCTAAGATGTCGCTCTTGGTTGGCCACTTGATTAAAGAACAAATAACTTACGTTTAGACTGCTGTCGTTACACACTCTTTTAACGTGCCTTTCTTTTTAAATAATTGCCAGTAAAAAGATACATAGCTTAGTCATTCTTTCTTAATGTTAAGCATTCATCTGAACAAATATCATTTTCATATTTTTTTTACTAGAATTTATTTCATTGTAAATTTTGTATTTTTTTTTGTTTTTACTTTTTTTATCATTACATGGTTAATAAAACAAAAATCATTTGAAAGATAAAAAATGAAAATTTAAGCTGTATTATGATATAACAAACAGAGATGTCCATCGCGGCTGAGAATTAGCCTCTGCTGCACCGCCGTCGTTTAAAAAACATGGTGCCGCGACAGTACAAAAAATACAGTCTAGAAAATGTGGTCGTCTCTAAAATAAAAAAAATATGTATTATAAAGTTCATGAATTAC